TAGAAACGTGGTCAAAATCATAATCGTGAAAACCATTTTCAGTTAAATCAACCGTACTTTTTTCTACTTTATTTGATATGTGATTCACATCACCGTCAAAAAAATAATTTTCAAAAGTATTATCTAAATCTGTAATTGATGCTTTGCTATTTTGGTGTAGAATCTGTTTATTTTTTTTACACAAATCCTTTTTAATTATTTCTGATTTTTCATCCACTTTTGAGTTTGGAAAATTAAAAACAGTTTTTGATTCACAAATAGAATTTTGAGAAGAATCAATTAAAAATTTAATGCATTCAGTTACTCTCATTGATTTTTTAAGAGTAAAGATCTTCATATCTAATGTTTCTTCATTAAAACAATTCTTTTGTATTATTTGTTTTTCGTTATTTCTGATTATTTCTCTATACTTCTCAACACTTTCAGGAATAAAAACAACTAAAGATTCCTTTAATGTATTTAAAAATAACTTATTTAACTGAATTGCATCTTCATGTTTGACATAATCATGTGAGAGCTCTTCTAATACAAAACATACATTATTTTTGTCAGTGACAACCAAATATTCTAGTAATCTTGGAATAGAAATGTATTCTTCTTTAATTCTTTTTTTAATGCACATTTTTTGCCACAACTCATATAAATTATCACAAACAACAGTAACATTTGGGGTTTTTTTGAAAAAGGTTTTCTCTAAAAAGATTTTGTCAACAAACTCTTTCATTTCACATTGATACAAAGAAAAATGATTACAACATATGTAATATAAGGTTAAAGGATGTTCATATTGCTTTGTTATACAATTTTTTACAATCTCCTTACCAACAATAGATTTACCTGAACCATATCCTCCTGTGATAATTTTTTTAAGTTCTTTATCGTGAATTGATTCATATTGCTCATAGTTAAGAATTATAGACTCAATCTGTTTTTGAGGATCAAACATTAATGTAGGAATATTAATATTATTATTCACCATATCAACTTTAGCCATAACTATCATAGCTAACCCAATAAGTTTCTTAAAAAATAATGTATTAGTACTTTGAACATTACATCGCTCAATGCTATAAGCACTAACTAATCTCCACCAACACTCAAAATTTTCATTTTGAATATCATCCTTACATAGAAATAAAATTTTTTCAAATTTTTTCTGACTACTGCTACTGTCTGAAAAAATAAAAAATAATTCTTCTTTTAATTCTTCACGCTTAATTAAAGGTAAAACAACAACTCCCAGTATAACTAATCCATAACAATTAATCAAGAGACTATTAACAGTAACAAACAATGTAGTATCATTCAAACAGTTCTCTGATTCTAATTGTAGGCGATCCAATGAAGTTGCAATACGAGCAATAAGAATGAGATTGAGTTCAGAGTAAAATATTATTATTCTATCTTCATCAGTGTGATTTTTAAAACTTTCAATATTGCACTTTAAAAGAGATGCATGGTTGCGTATATGGTAACCAGGTAATATAGCACGAATACCAGTTCTTTTTTTTTCAGAAAAAAAAACATAAAACTTGTCAAAAATCATAGTTGCAAAATCTTTACAAGCAAAAAAGGAACGGACATAAATAACATCTTTTAAATCAGGAAAATTGCGGTCGATATAAATATCTGCAATTGATTCAATAGATTCATTTTCAGGCACTTTAATAAGGTTAATATTAAAAGTCTTTCTCCAATCCAAAGATTTTGGCGCTCTAATATTTTCGCTGAACTCATTGTCGGAAATTGGTGCAGGTGTTGCAATCATAATCATACCATTGTAAGATAATTCATAGTCACACTCACCTGAATAAATAAAAAGCAAGTTTTAACATAAAAAAACTAAGAAATTAAATCATAAATTGAATGAATAAACAATAGATTGGTTTTTAAGTGCATGACAGCAATTCAAATGAAAAAATTATGCGTAAAGTTTGATAAAAAACCATTATGATTCAAATAAAGCTCAAAACTGTTTTCTCCTGATTGAAACATTTAGCATCAGTGATCTTAATTTGGCACATTTATTTTTTTTCAAAAATATTTAAATAATTCCTATAAATCACTTTTCAAGACAAAAAACAAAAAGTGTTGGCAATACAGATTAAATTATAAAAATTTTGAATTTTAATTTTTCAGTTATAATAACTTGTTGGCTAATTATAAGATAACATGGATTTGTTTGCATTCAAAAAATATGCTCATTTTAGTTTAATAACTTACAGAGCTGTTAATTACTTGTTAATTAAAAAATTTGTGCTTAATGTTGAATATCACCTTGGGATTGAAGAGGCTGAAGAAAATAGGAGCAAGGTGACCCTAGAGGCCATGCAGGAATCTTACATGAGGTTTTACTTTTTATCTAAACATTGACTTTTTTCCAATTTTTTTCTACATTTTGAAGAAAATCCATAAATTTTTTTATATTTACTATCTTTATGTTTGTTATGTAGAAGTATTTTAAAATGCAAATGTTGTGTAAGATAACACTGGCTTAGTTTGACCTGTAAGTGGGTAGCATTGACATGTGTTAGATTAAATATTTTTACATGTCGCCGGTTGACTATTGTTTAAATTATATTAGCAGATGCTAAAGCCAGATGTTTAACTTTTTACAATCTCTTTACCAACATTAGATATACCAGATCCATATCCTCCGGTAATAACTTTTTTTTAGCTCTTTATCATGAACTGTAACAAATTGCTAATGGTTAATAGTTAAAGACTTGATCTGCTTTTGAGTATTAAATTCCAGTGTGGGAATATTGATATTATCTGCCACCACATTAACTTTAGCCATAATTATCATATTTAACTAAATTAGTGTTTTAAAAAATGCTGTAATATTATTTTGAACATTACATTGTTTATAGCTATAAGCACCAACTGATCCCCACCAACCCTCAAAATTTTCATTTTCAATGTCATCCTTACTTAGAAATAAAATTTGTTTTAAGTTAGAAGATTTTTTCTGACAATTCCAAAAGTCAATAAAGTCAATTCTGACAATTCCAAAAGTCAAAAAAATAAAAAATAACTCTTTTAATTCTATATCTCTACGCTCAATTAAAGGAACAAACAACAACTCTCAATATAACTAATTTTTTATATTCAATCATGAGACTTTAACAGTTACAAACAATGCAATATCATTCAAACAGTTCTCTGATTCTAACTTAAGGCAATCTAATGAAGTTGCAATACGAGCAATAAGAATGTTCAGAGTAAAATACAGTTATTCTATCTTCGTCTTTGAGTGATTTGAAACTTTTAATGTTGCAATTCAAAAGAGATGCATGGAGGCATAAATTGCAATCAGGTAGGATATAAAACATAGGATATAAAACATAAAATAGGATATAAGGTAGGATATAAAACATAGGATATAAAACATAGGATATAAAACATAAAACACTAATATAGAACAAATACCAGTTTTTGTTATTTAGAAAAAAATAATAAAACTTGTCAGCAATCAAAGTTGTAAAAACTTTACAAGCAAAAAAGGAATGAACACAAATTACACTATTTAAATCAGGAAATTTCTGTCAAAATAGATATCTGCAATTGATTCAATTGATTCATTTTCAGGCATTTTAATAAGGGTAATATTGGCAACCTTTCTCTAATCCAAAGATTTTGGATTGGATTCTTATATTTTCGCTCATTGTTGCAAATTGGTTCAGGTTTTATAATCATAACACTTTTGTAGGATAATTCGTAGTCACACTCATATGAATAAAAAAAAAGCATGTTTTGAAATTAAAACTTATAAATTAAATCAAAAATTGAATGAATTAAAAATAGACTGGTGCTCAAATAACAATGATTCAATTGAGAGCTATTTTAGGTCTAAACCTTTATAATTTATTTGTCTGGAAATTTAAAGTTTTATGATATTAAAGACTAATTACTTAATAACTGAAGCGATTCGATTAAAAAATTGCAACGTTAAAAACTTTAAAATGCATAAAAAATTAATGTAAACACTGTAAGAAAATAGAAGTTAGATACTTGCATATACAGTAAAGGTAAAAAAATATTTAAACTATTAGTCATTAACATCCGTCATATAGACTTTTAGTGAACTATATTAACTATATTTGATATTGGTGATATTAAATAATCATTTAAAATTTAGAATTTCCTTTTTATTGTTTAAGGTTATAATTTCATTTCTATTTTACAAATTAGTGCAGATAATAATTTCGCATAAATGTAATGGTAAAATTAATATAAATAAAATCTTAGTCAGTGTATTTAATGTCAGCAAAGTAGTAAAATGAAAAATTAGTGTTTTTATTTTCAGATAATTCGATAATGTCATTGTGCTCATTTAAATTTATAGACACGACAAGCAGTATTGCAATCATTTGATGTCACAGATCCGCCTTGAAAAGGCATGTCAATAATAAGGCCAACCTTTGCAAACTCACGCTGAACAAACTTTTTTTTTACAGCTGGTAATTTTATATTTTCAAGTCCATGTATTTGCCATTCTTTAATATCAAGTCTATAACTTATATGTAGAGTACACTCGAAACATCGAATCCATGTATGTAATGACAATAACCCAAACTCTAACCTTTGCGAATCTGTTGAATGGATCAAACCTTCATTTAAGTTGTTCATTGACCTAGGAGCACATTTGCAAATATTACAAACTTGAACCGATTTACTGTCACAAATTGCATCAACTGCTTTTCCATCAATCATTGTAAGTTCGAGATTGAATCTTACTTCAATTACAAGCTTCTTTTCAGCTTCTGGTTCCTTTAATTCTACATAAATAATCATTGCACTCAGATATTAAAGTTTATATCAGACATTAAAACATTACATTCATCATTGTTGTTTATTTGGACGGAAAATCTTTGATTATACTGTTTTTGGCTACTTGTACCTTTGTGATGATTGTTCGCTAGGTAGCTGGTTAATTAAAGACAAAACTTTTTTATTAAGCTAAAATGATTCGTCACTTAAAAATTTACTCTTATTTCGAAAATATTTTTTGCAAAAATTTGATCGGCATTTGCTTACAAATATGAGAAGAGCTTTTTCAGAACAAGAAAAATCATCATTTATATTCATGGATACGTTTAATTCGTTTATAAGCATACTATTATACTGATCTACGATTTGTCTTGAAGTAAGTTGTGATGAAATAGTGTCTTTAAATTTTTCCAATACTTTAAGCCGATTTATGTTATTAAGCATTTTTAAAAGATAACTTGATTGTTTATATGATAAGAGTTTTAATAATGCTACTTCAAGAGAAAATTTAAATATCTATAATTTAGTGTAAATTTATTCAAATAATTTTATTACTTTTGAAACATAATTGCAATCAAATCATTTATATAGTGTTTATGGTTTCATATTTTTTTTAAGTAAGATAAAAAAATGAAATAATTAAATCATTAAATTATTATGGAAATTAAATAAATAGATTAAAAATACTTTATGACGAGGAAGCAAAACTATTTTCCAATATCGCTTATAATGTTTAGTGAGTGGGCTTTTTAATTTTAATTAGTAATTAAAGCAGAAAAAAGTATAACAAGTTTTTTAGAATGGCAGCTTAAGCGAAAAAGTTAGTAAACCAATATCTAGAAACTTTTCTTTATATCTAATAACTTGCTATATATATTTGTGTTCTGTTGTGACCTCAGACGCGGTGCTTGTTCATCTGCAAGTTACTTTGTATGCATTGTTTATGTTAGTAACCAAAAACTTCTTAAATGTTTGATACATAATTAGTTTTATTAACTTTAATGATTATTTATAACTTCATTGAAAACGCTATTATTTTAGTAAGTCTTGGCTTACTAAAATAAATAGTAATAAAAGATTACACTACGATAAAAAACAGATACACAAAATTACATTTACAATAAAAAAAAAAGAATATACTAAGATATCTATAATTTATAATAAACTTGCAAAATTTTGACAATTTAAATAATATATATTTAAAACATTTATTTTTTTTAAACAAATAATAACAGTTTATAAGAAATACGGCTTTGCAGATGTGGCTTCGAGAATGAGCCATAATATTGATTCTTAAAACAATATATGCTAGAAATCTCAAAACGTAACAATCGTGAATACAATTTCTCGAACATTTTAACTAAATACTCTAGAACTTTATTTCGCTTAGTCAGCGTATTTTTTGAACCAATAGAATTAGTTTGTTCGTTAAATTGGCAGGTTTTTAGTGATAGCGATTATTCTTTTTATAATCACGCACCATAATGATTTGAGAACATTCACGTTTTTTATGTTTCCATGTATGTCTGTAAAACAAAAATTTTTTGTTTTGTACATAAACTTAAATGTTCTCAAAACGACTAAAAAACCTGGCCAGTTTTCGCAACTAAATATAATTTCCGTGGTCAGTATTCAAGAGCGATCGCTCTTGCTTCCTGGCCAAGCCTGTATATATATATATATATATATATATATATATATATATATATATATATATATATATATATATATATATATATATATATATATATATATATATATATATATATATATATATATATATATATATATATATATATATATATATATATATATTATATGTACTATATATACTTATATATATATATATATATATATATATATATATATATATATATATATATATATATATATATATATATATATATATATATATATATATATACTTATACTTATACTTATATATATATATATATATATATATATATATATATATATATATATATATATATATATATATATATATATATATATATATATATATATATATATAT